CGCCCCTCTGCCTCTCCTATACACCCAAAAACAGGTTCCGCTGCTTCTTTAACCCGGCCCAACGCACCTTCCACAGCGTGGTCGTTCTAGGGAAGGAGGTCTGCGGCTACCCTTCCACAGTCCACGGCGGCCTGACCGCCGCCATAGTGGACGAGACGCTCGGTGGCCTCTACACGGCGCTGCTGACAAGCGGCAGCCTCGGCCTCCGCATGCCGGGCCTGACCGCGCGGCTCGAGCTGGACTACAAGCGGCGGATCGCCGCGCCGGCGGTGCTGCATGTGGCTACAGAGGTGGAGTCTGTGGAGCCCCGGAAGGTCTGGATGCGCGCGACCGTGCGCGACGGCGACGGGGTCACGTATGCGACCGGCCGCGCGCTGTTCGTCGCGCCCAACATAATGAAGCAGCTCGGGCTGGCCGCGCGGCGGGAGGACGCCGCCAGGCAGGCCGGCGCGCCTGTCGCGCTCGCGTGAGGGGTGGCCCCTGTTATTGAGCCGCAGGGCTTGTCCGGGACCCGCGGCGTCGGCCGCCGCCCAGAGGCCCTGCGGCTGGTTGGCTTGCGGCCTGCATGGGTGCCTTCCAACCCTGCCTTGTGTGCTCCGGGGGCAACCCAATGCGGGTCGGCCAGCCTGCTGCACCCTAAGCGCGTTGAGGTGTTCGTCGAGCGTATTGTGGTATTTTGTTTCCAATCGCGACGCCAGAGTTTTCCCTCTCCGCAACCGCCCACGCGCGCATGCAAGCACGCACGCGGCGTGCCGCCCACGCAGCGCGTGGCGCCCCTTTGCGCTCTGCTCAACCAGAGTCAGGCAGGAGCGCGCCCCTGGGGCCGCCTCTCAACACAAACCTGCTGAGCCCCTGAAAGCGGGGCAGTCAATAGCGAAATCACAGCAGCGAACGGACTTTCTTACACCAGGCTTCCGGCCCGGCACTGGCGTTGCGCACACGTCGGCGCTGCTTGCTGCGCCTGCAACTCGCCCGAGCGTGAGGGCACATTGGCCTTTCGAGTGCGGCGGGGGCGGCGCCATGCAAGCCGCCGCCACCCAGCTGCCGCGCGCACGCTTTCCGCCAGAAAAAAGTGCAGGGGCACGCCCCTCGCGCAGGCCCACCGAACACTATGCACCAAAGCGCAGTTCCTCGCGGTTTGGACGGCAGCCGTCCGGCCACCCCTGACTATTTAGCCCCTGACCTCTGTGATGCCCTGCGCTTGGCAGGCAGCCTCTGCAGTCGGTTGGCTGGCAAGGCTGCGGCCTGGCTCAGGCGGTTGCGCCATCGGCACCCCGCTGCGGGGTTGCCTGTCGCGCTAGTGTTCCCTGAAGGCCCTCTGTCTCTGCCAGAACGCGCCCGGGTAGGCTGCGGGCCGGCGGGGGCGAACACATACGACCATGTAACCGAGCCCTCCCTCTCCGGCCCCAGCCGCGGAACGGTCGGGGGCCGCTGCGCCTCTCGTTGGAGGGGGCGGACTGTTCGGGCGCAGCGCAGGTAACGATTGGCAGCGGCGGCACTCTTTGACGGGCACACACGCACCTCGCCAAACACACCAGGGTTCGGCCTCGTATATCAGGATCGAGTTGTTACAAAGGGCCGCGGCCTCACCGCCGCGGTGCGCCGAACCCCTTGCTGGCCGCGCCAAACCCCTTGGCGCCGCCGCCGGCCGCGCGGCCCGCGTCCGCGCCCAGCCGCCGCACCGCGGCCGCCGCGCCGGGGTTTGCTGCCAGGAAGGTCTCCTCTAGCAGTACGATCCTGTCCTTCACCTTTGCAAGCTCTGATGCCTTCATCCGGTCATGGTACAGGATGCCCTGCGGTACAGGGGCGGATGGCGGTCACGCAGCTGCATGAATCACCGTGTGTGTGGACCGACGGCAGGGGTGCGGTTGAAGATGCGGGAGGGTTGCGCGATAAAGCCAAGGCGTGGGGGGGTGCTGGTGCTGTAGAGCAATGCCCACTAGCACGCCACTCACGTTTGCAAGCACCCACCCACCTGCACGCAAACACTCCCCAAAGGCAAGCCGTCCGCTCGCATTAAAAGGCGCCTCGCTGAAAAAAAGCGCTGCGCACCTGCAGGTGATCGAACTCGTGCTGAAAGATGCGCGCCACCCAGCCCTTGAGTGTCTTCTCCTGCAGCTGGCCGGCGACGTCATAATACCGCACCTCGATGCGCTCATGGCGCTGCAGGCGCGCGCGTGCATGTGCGCATGTGTGGTTGGTTCAAAAGAATGAAACGAGAGAAGGTGATGACGATGGACGGCACACACAAACACATGCACACACACCCGTATGCCCACAAACACGCACGAACACCACGCACACGCACGCATGCACGCACGTGTGCGCGCCCACACCTGCACACAAACGCACGCACCCATGCGCGCCCGCCGACACCGTCCCAAAAGCCCAACCACACCAACACCACCCCCCAGCGCCCCGCACCTCCACATCGGCGTAGATCTTGGGGAACGACAGGCAGCCCTCCTCGTCCACCTCAAGCTTCTTGCTGCGCCCCACGATCTCTGGGTTGACCAGGATCGTCTCAGTCGGGCCGCCGCGGGCCTCGGGGCCGAGCTCGTTGAAAACCATCAAGCGAACATTGACGCCGACCTGCGGCGCCGCCAGGCCGACACCGTCGTCCCTGGCACGCACACACGCATGAGAGGAGGGCGCGGGGCGGGGCCGCGGGAATGGGGGTGGGGAGGAGGGGTCTGGGCAAGAGGATGAGAGTTAGGGCCCCGCCCGGCGCGTGTGATTCGCCGCGAGACCGGGACCACGGCTGTGCAAGGCGCCGCGGGAGGCTCGACGCGTGCATGTGTGGACGGCTGTGAGGTGACGTCCGAAGCCGGGGTGGAGGGTTGGGGATCAGGCGAGGGGAAGCGGCAGGCTGGAATCGCCCCCAACCACCGGGGCCGCGCGCGGCTCTCACTGGTACATCAGTTCGAACATTTCCGCCGCCAGCTGCAGCAGCTGCTGCTGGTCCACGGCCCCGATTCGCGCGTTGACCGCGCGCAGCCGCGGGTCGGGGTACTTGATGATGCCGAGGGGCTTTGACCACGTCAGCGAGTCAACTGGTCAAGTGTGAGGTGCGAGGGTGGGGCGGAGGGGGACGGCTTCCCGTGAGTGAGGAAGAGCGGGCGAGGCGCGCCTACAGGTGTGCAGGCACTGACACCTGCGGCCACAGGCCGCGCGGGCGGACCGGGGGACGGCGCGCGCGCTCTGCTCGCGGGGGGCGCGCGGCCGCGGCCGCGTTTGTGTCGCGGCCCCGGCGGAGTGCGCGCGGCAGCGCGGGGCGCGGCGCGGGGGGCGCTGCGGTTGGGTGCGAAGGGGCGGGGCGGGTCCTGAACGCACCCACTGGGACCTCCTTGACTGGCGTGCTGCCCCCTGCTGCCTTTTGAGCGCTTGTCCGCACCAGCCTGTTGTGGGTGAGGGCACCGCCGCTGCTGCTGCTGCCGCTGCTGCTGCTGCTGCTGCTATTGGCCATGCTGCAGATGAGTCCGCCCAATCCACTGCTTCCAGGGGCAAGGGTGCCCGCTGTTGCGCTGCTGCCGGCCTTGAGGGCGCGGCACGCGCATGCGCATGCGCCCAGTGCTGTGGTGCTGGGCGGCGCTGCGGCGCCCAGCAGCCGGCTCCTCAGGGCCATTGAAATGCGCGTTGTAATTCGATTTGCAAATTGAGGCGATTGCCTCAACACCAACCTCGTGCGCTGGCAAGTTCAGACAGCGGGTTTGGGGTGGGCGGTCCCCAAGTGCCTTTGGGTTCGACTACCGTATGATAACCTGGCAAGTCAAATGGTGAAAAGCTGCAGATGATCGCAGCAGTAGAACTGCATCATTACCTTATTGTTGCATACATCCTCTCCCATCATATCACCGATCACAGCGCTCGCAGCACGCTGGCCCCGACGGCCTGCTGATCGCTCAAAGTTGATCAAGGAGGGGACATACATATGCTGAGTCGTTGTCCTGCAAGACATGCGGCCTGATGACGGCCGGGGACCCTGGAGGGAGGTGCGTGGTGTCCCCGTAGGCAGAGAACCCTGGATATGTGGCACGGGCCACTTGTATGTTATCAAACAATGTTTTCTTTGATTGGTTGGGTGCTCCCGTGGGCCTCCTGCTGACAGCCGCGCCATGCTCGCGGCGTCCCGATGCAGGGCCTCGATTGGTGGGCCTGCACTGGGTCTGTGGATCGATATGGGCAGGAAGAGCAGGATGACAGCGAGGACTGCGATGCAGACCAGGTCCGGGGACGCGGCGCAGTGGTGTGTGTGTGCACGTGCGCTTTGCGCCGGCCTGGGTGCGCTGTGCGCCGGGTTGCTCCCGCGGCCCCGGTCCACCCCTGACTGCAGCGCCACCCGCCTCACCGTCCCCTACCGCCCGCCCCCTACTCCGCCGCGCTCCCAGGCCCTGGGACATGGGCAGCACTCGGCCCCGGATGTCGCCCCCATCTCTGACCAGCGACCCGGCCTCCTCGGCCTCGAGCCGCCCTTGGGCCCGCCCTCCCCGGCGCCCTCCGACGGCGGCCGGCCCGCCACTTTCCCAATGCCTGCGCTAGGCGCCGCCTCCCAGCAGCATGCGGCCGCGCTTGCGCTGGCGCTGTCGACGGACCCAGGGGCGCAGCTGCCGTCGCTGGCCGTGTCCAGCCTCGGCCCCGGCCACAGGGGGGCCTTTGGCCTCGCCCCGCCGCCCCACGAGCCGCCGCCTCCGCCCCTCACCCGCCCCGGCGGCGAGCTGCCCGACGTCGGCTTTGATGCCAGCGTCGGCTCGCCGCGCATCGCGCCGCGGGCGGCGGCCGCGCTGCGTAGCAGCGG